AAAGAAAGAAAGAAGAAAGAAAGAAAGAAAGAAAGAAAGAAAGAAAGAAAGAAAGAAAGAAAGAAAAGAAAGAGAAGAAGGAAGGAAGGAAGGAAGGAAGGAAGGAACGAAGGAACGAAGGAACGAAGGAAAAGAGGAAGGAAGGGAGGAAGTCCAAGCATTCCAGACAGCTGAATGCAAGGCAGCTCCTGGAGGGTGGCAGCGGCGGGCTCAGAAGGAAGCACTGCACTCGTCCTCCATACCTCAGCCTGCATGTTCTTGCTCCACGACCTTCACTGCATCTAGTATAAGAAATAAGCACAAGCATTCCCTGAGTCCTGGAAGCCACTGTAACACTAACCTGTGGCAGCACCTTGGGTACCTAAGTGTACACTGTGGGTTAAAAGCACAAGTAAAACAAACTGAGGTTCTCAACTGGCACCAAAGGGGGAGCCGCTGGGACTGAGCCCTCACCTATGGATCTGATGCTGCGGGTAGTGGCGGAACTAAATGGGGCTAGGGGACACTGCTGCAGATTTTCTTGCTGCTTTTCCTTGTGAGGGAACCCACACATGCATGGGGTCAGAAGTAGTCTGTTGTGCCGGTCCCACTTCCTGGGGTGAGCTGAGATGGCGATTGAGACTGGGTATAGTGGCATGCGCCTGTAATCCAGTGTGCTTGGAAGGCTGAAAGCAAGAGGATCACTACGAGTCCAATCTGTGTACAGTCCAATGTCGGAGTGAGACCCTGTAAACCCTGTCCTAAATACAAAAAAAAAAAAAGAGAGCAAGAGCGAGAGAGCAGGGGCCAGGGAGATGGCTCAGTGGAATAAGCACCTCCCTGGCAAGTGCAAGGGTCTGAGTTCAATCCCTGGTTCCGCCAAAAAAAAAAAAAAAAAAAAAAAAAAAAAAAGAGCAAGAGAGCAACAGAGAGAGAAAGAGACAGAGAGAGAGAGAGAGACAGAAACAGAGAGGGAGGGAGGGAAGGAAAAAAATGAAGTAGTCTGTATCATGAGAATGTAAGGAAAGAAACTGAGCCTGAGTTTGAGTTGTTTCACCCTTGTTCTGCTCAACCTGCCAGTCACCAGATCTGGTCAGTCTTGTGCCTGGTCAATCCATCCCGCCCCCTGCCACATCTGTAGACCCCTTTTAGCCTAGCTCCTGCAGCTGAACACAGCACCTGCTGTGCACTCTCACCAAGGCCCCCACTGACCCAAGAAATCCTAGGCCCGCCAGGCCCAGTCCTGCCACCTGTCCATCCTGTGTCCACTCCTGACAAAGCTATCAGGCTGTCTGCCCTCCCCCAGTCCCCAGGTACAGGCTGTTCCGACTCGCTGTTCCAAGAGGCCTCTGATCAGGGCCTTTCCCCATGCTCACATTCCTGCCCAGTCATCACCATGCCCACAGGGCAGAAGGGCTTCTCTCACTGCTGTATCCCCAGTGCCCAGAACCGTGTCCAACCCAGTGTGCAGCTGGCAAGCAGCCCTCCCTACCCTATAGAACTTCCATTCTAGAACCTGCCACCCACCCGCCACCACCTCCTGCCCTGTTGCTCTGACTGGGTTCCCAGAAGAACCTGGCTGGACTCCATATTTTTCCAAGCCATGGCCAAGGCATGAGGCTGCTGAGACACAGCTCAAGATAGCAACCTCCTGGGCACAATGCCTGCCTGGCCTGGTCAGAGCTGACCCTGCTGGGGACATCCAAACCAATCCAGGTCACAAGGGCAGTAGCACTTGTCAGGCCACAGCTCAACTGATGCTCAGGGGGCTGGACAGAGGGAAAGGGGCTATTGGGATTCGGACTCTTCTGCTACCGAAGTTTGTCATCTCAGCCCTGTGCCCACCCTGCAGGAGCAGCCCAAGGGCCATTCATTCAGGGTTCAGGAGCCCTGGGCCAGGACATGAGCAGAATCCAGGGACAGGCCACCACCATCCTGGCAACTCAATGTACAATGGGGAGTCCCAGCAGAAGGGGCAGACAGCCCTGCAGGCCCTGGGAGTAAAAGGGACATTAGGTTTTCCAGGCCACAGGACCCTGCTGTCATCATTGCCCCAGATATCACCACCACACCCACATATGCTATTTAAATTATGTTTATTTATAAGCAAGATCTTGCTATGGAGTTCAGGCTGGACTGATCCTACTGCCTCAGCTTCCCAAATGCTGGGATTACAGGCATGTGCCATTGTGCCCAGCTCATACACATTCCTTTAACAGGAAGCCAGGAGTCTGACCTCACTGTCAGGAAGACCCTAGAGCTAGCCATGCAGCTGGAGGAAAATCTGGTCTCAGCTTCCTCAGCCTGCTGGGGAGGGTGAGACACAGGGTCCCAGGTCAGCAGTAGGGGCACTACTCAGAGGGCTGCCAAGTTCAGGTGCATGAATCAAATTCTACACAAGTTGGAAATATTATATGCATGCATTTGGCTCTAGATCAGGGATAGTGAACCTTTTAGAGACTGAGTGTTCAAACTGCAAACCAAATCCCACTTATTTATCAGAAAGTGCCAACACTGCAATTAAGCCTGAATGCTTGGCTGCTGGGACAATGCTGGAGTGATCTGACTTGAGTGCTAACAGGAAAGCCTCTGTGTGCCCGCTGCGGCAGTCATCATCTATCAATCCCCTGGACTGATAGAACCTTGTGATCCTGCCTGCTCAGCTACCCCTCCCTGGAGAAAGGGAAGAGGGGCAGAGGGAGTCCTTTCCCCTCTTAGGAGCCTTCCTAAGCTTGCTCCTTGCTGCTGTTAAGCCCTGTATACAGTAAGAATCACATTCCAGGGAAGCATAGAAGATGAGAAATCAGTTTATGGGTAAATGGGTAGAACAGGTTGGGAAGGGGCCAGGCCCTGTAATGACGAACTTCCCAAGAATAGAACAAGAGATACACAGGACTGGCCTAGACAGGCAGGCAGACAGACAGACAAAACCACAAAGGTAAAAAGCCCAGGCCTGACTCTGATGCCAGAGCGTCCAGCATCAGACCCACCTCTGCCCTGGGCTTCCAGTGCATGAGCAGGCCTCAGCCTTTGTGGGGCCTCCTCCTTGCTCCTGCCCTTCACACAGCAGGATGAGCACTCAGGCAGGAGCTCTCTCAGGGCTGGGGAATGACAGGTCTGGATAGACAAAGGATGAAGGTGCATGGAGCTCCCTGCAGAGCTGGAGGTCTGGGTGATGTGGGGTTAGCAGCAGCACTGGAGGGATCATCAGGCACCAGGGATCTGGGCTAGGCCACCACACAGCAGGGCCTGTATCTAGGGCAGGCCTCCCACCCTGCCCACCACACCAACATGGTGCAATAAATGAAGTTTCAAGTAGAAAGTCAACCGCACATAGGAGAGCTGCAGGCTGGCAGATGGGTGGGGCTTAGGGAGAGGAGCCCCCAGCTGCCCACTGTGTCCTGACTCAGGCGCTGGGCTGGGCATGTGCCCCTGGGTCTGCATGTGCACTCCCTGCAGGGGCTCTGCCCCTCAGACCACTGCCAGATCCTGCTCCATGGGGCAGAAACAGGGCAGCATGGAGCCCACGGCGTCCACAATGGCTTCCAGGTGCTCATCCTGAGCCTGAGGCCCACAGAGCTGCATGAAGTCAGCAAGTCGCAACAAATACTCAAGGTTGTGGCCAGAGAAGCCCTGGCAGGCCAGGATCTGGGTAGCGATGGCCTCCTCCGGTGCAGGGCCCAGGTAGCCAGGGTTCTGCGGGGTGGCCACATAGGCCAATGCCTTGAGTGGCTGCTCAGGTGCATCCTGAGGGTAGAAGGTCACTTCCTTGGTGTCATAGCCGCCAAGTACAGCCTCCCGCACATTGAGGTACTTCAAGGCCTCATTCACCTGCTCTCCTCGAACCTGGTATGCCACGCCCCAAGTGCAGCCCTATAGGGGGAACAGAGACACATCTGGTCAGTGACAGAATGCTTCCCTCCCCTGGGGTTGTGTGTATAAAGGAGTTGGTTGACCAGGTGATGAGCTATTTCTGGCAATACACCCAGCTGTCTCCATATCTACATACTACTTGGTATGTAATTCTTGCTGGCTCTGAACTCATATGGAGTCCAGGGTGGACTGGAACTCACAGCAATCCTCATCTCTTGGCCTCTCTGGAAATACAGATGTGTACCCCCACACTCAGCTTATTCCTTAAGGGCTGACAAGGTGGTCTGGGCCCAGGGAAAACAGAATTCTTGGTCACAGTGAAGGCCAGGAACTAGTAACATTACTGGGAAGCTTGTTAGAAATACTGCATCTGAGGCCCAACTCTAGTCTGCTGAAGTTAGTCTGGCTTAAACAAGCTCCTCAGGTGACTCTCTGACAAACACTGCAGAGATCACGCTTCTGCTCCATCAGCCAGGAACCATACCTGGCCTGCAGCCACAGGCCCCTAGTGCTCCGCCTGTGCACACCCCTCCACGCTGGACCCCAAGGTTCCCTTATGGGCCCGTGTACTTACCTCTCGATCTTCTAGGAGGGTCACCACACGGCCAGGCTAAATAAAGAAAGATTTTGGGGAAAAAAAAATAATAAAATTAGAAATCAGCCTGGCTGACAGTGCAAGAACACCCTTTAAAAACCCAAGGCCCAGGCCGTGGGGGTCCCACGGGTCCAAGGGACCTACGGGGTGTGATGCAGGTATGAGGAGGAATTGGAATACAGGGCAGCACCACTCTGTTCAGCACCTCAGGAACCTACAGGTCCTGGCTCCAGGCATTAAAAGGCAATGCCCTGCGCACCCCATTTACACCGCAAGCCAGGACACAGGCGGACACATTTCCCCAGCAGCCCTAGGCGCCCGACTGCCCATCGCCTGGCTCTGCACAGTCAGATGCTCACCATCTTGTCACTGCCTCGATGGAAGGTGTCTCCCTGCCAGAAACGCCGGCTGTAGCCCCGCACGAAGCCCACGCGGCTGGCGCTGTAGGCAAAGTCGGGCCTCCACACCAATGAGCCATATCCGAAAATCCACAGTGCTTGGGGGTCGCCGTCCTCCTCGGAGGGCTGCATGGATGGTGCTTCGGAAGGTGAGGGGGGCGGTGTGTTCTGGGCCGAGGGGTCCTGCTTCATGGTGCCGGGCACAGGTACCGCCCGGGCGTCCTCCGCGGTTGGGCTCCGGCGCGGGCGCGGAAGGGCCGATGGACGCGCACACCTGGCCTGGCACCGCTCTGCCGCTCCAGCTGAGTGGTCCCTGCGGAGGCGCCCTTTAAACCCTCTGGCCAAGCGCCCTCGCCCCCCCGCGGCTAGCTGCCGCGGTGATTGGGGTGGGGCAGACCCCCTTCTGGCCAATCACCTTTGGATTGTGCTTCTCGGTTAACCGCGCGGCGCTCTAAGTGGGTGCTGAGCGGCCCGCCCGGGGTGCAGCGCGCCCGCTGATTGGCTGGTCCCTGCCCCGGGAGCGACCTGGCAGGAGTGATGCAAGGGCCGCGGAGGTTTTCCAGCGCGGCTGCAGCAAGGCGGCAGCAGATTGCGTCAGGCAGCGGCAGCGGCGTAGTGGACCCGGCACAGACGTGGTCTCCCTGCACCGCCCACTCAGGGGGCGCCGCGGCAAGGGTCTCAGCTGTGTGCTCTGCACCTGGCATCCGCCACGCAACGCTCTGGGGCGGAGCCGAACCGAGCTTGGTCGCGTTGGCGAGGCGCGCACAGCGGGGTGCTCGGGCTGGTGGACACTCTGGTCTCTGCGCCAGCACCGAGAGTCGTCCGCATTCCGCGTGGGTGCCTCACGCCTCTGGTCCGCGTGAGCAAGTGGAGAAACTGAGTCACGGGGCAGCAGGGAGCTCTGTAGAGGTCGCGATTGAGTCAGGAGAGGCGGCACGAGTTTGCAGGCTTCATGTGACAGCGACGCCCGGCCGGCATGGGACTCCCACCCAGGTGGGTGGAGGAAGAGTGGGCGGCGTTCCGGGAAGCTTTCACCTGGGGTCGTTCCTGCACCTGCTGGGGAGGCCGCTAAGACACGGATTCAGCCGGTATTGCCTCGAGGCGAGAGTTTGGTTTCCCGATGTGAGCGTTTGCAGAGATAACCATTCCTTGACCTTGAGTTTCCAGGGGGCTTAGGCAGGGGTGGCCCAGCCGAGGTCCCAGAGAGTCCGAGACAGCTATAAACCTCTGTCCCGGTGGGCCGCCGCCCGGGCTGCCCCGGGTCTCTGGCTAGAAAGGCTACCTGCAGACTTCGCTCCAGGTCGGGGTGGGCCCTGTGTCAGGGGAACCAGTGGTACTGCTTCTCATTCAGTTGTGATTGTTCAAATGAAAATCTGTCTCTGCGCTGCACAGTTACTCCACAGGTGTCTCTGCAAAGAGGAGGAAGCAATTTCTTTAAAAACAAAAACAAGTTATCCCGTCGTGTTTGGGTAGGAAATGATCCTACAAGGCGAGGTCTAAGCTGTAAGCAGAAGGTGACATCAAAGGACAACTTTTCAATATTAAATTCTCATGTATGAAGAAGTCTTGGTTCTTTACAAAAAACATAAATTAGTTTTCCAGTTAAGAAAAACAAAAAACGAAACCCTCAAGTAGAATGGCCATTCCTGTCATTACCTTCTGCTACTCACACTTCCTGTGTTCGCTTTCCCTTTTCTCTTGTCCCTGTCTTGTTCTTGTCCCTGCGGGTCATCAAAGCCGCTCCTGTGAAGCCACTACCTTCTTCGGGGAAAAGCTCGAGGTTTCTTCTGTGGAATGTGCTGGAAGGACGCGAATTGGCACCACCCATCTTGTGGAAAAGCAGCTTGGTGATACAAATCAAGAATTATTAAATGTCCCTGACCTTTGACCCAATACTTCCACTCCAGGAAATTATTCAAAATATGGGGAAAGCCATATCGTCAAAGATTTCCAATGTGTTATTATTTATTATAGTAAAAGAAAAACTACATATCCAAAAATAGCTAAATATATAAGTAAATTATGGCCAGTTCACATGATGGAGAAGGACACACCAATACACACACTCACATGGAAACAATTTAAATGTCAGTAACAGGTGTTTACATACATTTGATATATGATGTGTGATTAAGAACTATAGGGGGGCTGGGGAGTTAGCTCAGTAGAATAAGTGCTTGCCTGGCAAGCGCAAGGGCCTGAGTTCAATCCCCAGTTCCACACACTCACACACACACACACACACACACACACACACACACACACACAAAAGAACTATAGGGGGCCAGGGAGATGGCTCAGTGGAATAAGTGCTTCCCTGGCAAGCACAAGGGCCTGAGTTCAATCCCCGCTACCACATGCTGTGCCAGCCCTGTGACAAGCCAGCCACCAAAATTGGGCATGGTGGCACACACCTGTAATCCCAGCGCAGAAGAGGTTGAGACAGGAGAATCACTATGAGTTTGAGTTGCGTTGTGAGACCTGTACAAAAAAAAAAAAAAAAAACCTACAGTGAGGGCAGCTCAGCGATCTAAAGCACCTGCTTAGGCAAGCGCAGGGAGATTTGATTCCCAGTACCACAT